CGCATGCAGATCTACAGCTTCAGGCTTGAATACAGTAAGATTTTGCTATATTTATGGAGGCATGAGGGGCACAGGGGGGCTAGATTGAGGTTTTAGCACTTTAGGGTCAGGAATACATGTTTGTGTTCCTGACCCTATAGTGATCCTTTAAACTTATATAGATTTTAGGTAAAGTCCGTTCCGAGCTCCGCACCACCTGCCCAGCCATCCTAAACTCAATCAGGATTTGGAATGCCACAGTGCACAAATATGCACTTACTCACCCCACATCACCCCTAACACCATACCTTCGTAATTAAGCGTTTCCACCAGGAATGACCCCGAGGGACTTTCGAGGTCTGGAAGACACGGGAGTCCAACACTACTGCCATCTATTTCAGTCGGCGCATTCCGCACATTTAAAAAACTTAAAAACCCTGGCCCCGCTTGCCACCAAAGACTACTTTCGATATCTCCAACTAAGGGATTTTGCTAGGAAACCTAATATTGCAGAGGCGGCTAGACTTAAGCCCACATTTTATGAAACACTTTGTATGTCTGACGGACCACGTGCCGGCCTCATCACTCGCCTATATACACAACTAAGCGCACCTATAAACTAATCCCAGACACATTACATATTGCAATGGGAAGCTGAACTCCAACAGACACTAGATAGCTGGGAATGGCAGGAAATATGGGAGGCAGTGACCAAGTCCTCTGTATGCGTCATCCACCAAGAACAGTGTTACAAAACGCTCATTAGATGGTAACCACTCCGGTTAAACTACACAGAATGGGCAAAACACCCTCAGATACATGCTGGAGAGGTTGTGGGGAGAAGGGTACATATCTGCACATGTGGTGGACCTGCCCAAAAGCTACCCAATACTGGGACAGTGTAACCAGACTCCTGACAGTGATATTCAAAAAACCAATCCAACCAGACCCTTGGACTTTCTTGATAGCCAAACCAATAGATAATTTACCCAACAGAGAACAAAAGCTCCTGAATAAAATAAACCTGGCTGACAGACGTGCCCTGGCACTGACGTGGCTCCAGGTAGACACTCCACACATAGACAAGATAATACACATCATCAAGGAAGCCTACCTCATGGACAAGCTTACAGCTCAGGTACGGCATACATACTCAGACTTCCTCAAGGTGTAACTACCTACCACGGGAACCAGGCCCCAAACATCTCAAGGCCAGAGATGTTGAAGTCCACAAGCCCAAAAGATCACAGCACACGGTAACCGTGGACCAACAACACCACTCTATAATTAACCCCCTAGCCAAGAAGTAAGGCCTGTTTTCAACCATAAAGCTAAACAAAGAGAGAAATGTTTTTTTTTATCTTTTCTTCTTTCTCACCTGTCTTGTTGTATGTACATGTTTGTTATTACAAAACAAAAAAGGTTACAGACTATGAATATACCTGTTACGTAACATATGAACTGACCACAATATGCTAATGCTGGCTTCTGCGTAAGCCATTGTAAAAACGAACACCAATCATCACATGCCAACGTTTGTTTCTGCGCAAGCCAAAACAATGTATAAACAATGTATTTTGGTATCTGTCACGACCTAAATAAAGAAGTAAAAAAAAAAAGATTTTATGTAAAGTCTCTTTATTTGCCATTTGCCATTCATAAGTGTTTATATCACCACTAAAAACAAAGAACCACAGGTTCCCTGAAGGCTGTATGTGTGTGTTTAAATATCATTAGTTATTATATCTATATTCCATACATATAAAACCTTTAGATTACCCAACAGGAATATGTTTCACTTTATTGTACATTATTATTTCTACCTTATGGAATTATATCCCAATGTAAAGTTCAGCAAAAACAAGGAATAAGAAAAACAAGAATCTTGCTTGGAATTAGAGTAAAAATGTGAAAAAAAAATGTGTATTCATGTTTCCCACAGATGCTGTCAGTTTCCAGTTTGCACCACAAATAAAACTACACAAGCATTAAAAAATGAAAAAAAGATTCAGTTTCTGTGAAGGAACATTTTACATATAGCTATAATGGAACTTTTAGTCAGGATAACACTGTAACAATAGGTGACTTTCAGAACATAAGTACTGGTATACTTTCTGCTTTGAATCAACAAAAATGGAGGTAAAAAATCTGAGCAACAGTATCAGAAATATGTAAATTTTGCTGATTTACATGTCTGTCTATTTTATTTTATTTTTTTACAAGAAAATAGTTGCTTTTAATTTGGCCAAACACGTTTCACCACATCTGTAGCTTTATCAATTGTCTAAGCCACTGATAAAGCCATGCTCATGGTAAAACGCGTTTGGCTGAATTGGTAGCGAATTGGAAAGAAAGATGTTGAATAGAGACCAAGCAAAGACTTCAGAGACTGTAGTGAACCGGTAACCGGCGAGAGTAACACAAACTGCACACTACACACCGATCACCATAACACTGAATCCGGGAAACATCAGAGGTGCCTGGAAGTCATTGGGAACAGTACCTGTGATATGTTAGATAACAAATATGGTGTTACATGGTGTTTTAAGATAAAGATTGGTAAGATTATTATTACAAGGAACAATTTTCTCTTCACAGAATAAGGTGAATTGTGTTTAGTTTGAGTTATGGTATTTAGCTTATCCATATATATATAGTAGGCTTTCCATCCTACATATAGGACTGCTGCCCCTAGCGATAATCTGTTTATATTGCAATATCAATCGTTTTTTTTTTTTGCCCTTCAACCTTTCCATCTCTTCAATTGATTCTATTTACATAGTAAGCTCTTTCAGAACAATGTGGTGTTACAAAATCAATAAAAAAGTATTTAAAAAAACACAACTCATACCTATTAGTTAACTTTTCCATTTTGCAAAAAGTAGAAATGTGACAGTTCCGTTTTAAAGCATTAAAGAATAAAACAAAATTAAAAAACCCTTTTGCATGCAAATACGTTACTAGTAGAGTTGAGTGAACACGAACTGAAAAGTTCGGGTTCGCACCGAACATTAGGTTTTTTGGACCCCGGACCCGAACACGGACATATCACTGTCTGTTTGGGTTGGAGTTCGGTGTTTGGCGATTTAACGGCGCATTTTGAAAGGCTGCAGGGCAGCCAGTCAACAAGAGTTTGACTCATGTGCCCTTAGAAGCCATCACAGCCGTGTCTACTAATGGCATGGCTGTGATTGGCCAGTGCAGCATGTGACCCAGCCTCTATATATAAGCAGGAGTCGCGTAGCGCCGCATGCACATACGGTCTTATTAGTGTAGGGAGAGGATGCTGCCGCTGATAGGGGTGCACTTCATATCTGAGAGTCAAATAGGAGTGTCAAATACTACTGTCACATTGCAGTTTTAAAACGTAAAAGATTTTTGGGTCCTAAACTGCTAAATAGTATTTTAGTGGGGTGCACTTCATATCTGAGAGTCAAATTGAGGCGTCTAATAGTGTGCTTACAGTGCAGTGGTAAACATTCTTATTTTCTGGGTGCTAATCTGCTAAATAGTATATTTTGGGGCCTGTTCTTGATATCTGAGAGTCAAATCAAAGCGTCTAATAGTGTGCTTTCTGCGCACTTGTAAACATTCTAATTGTTTTTCTGCTAATCTGCTAAATAGTACATTTTGGGGCCTGCGGTGCACTTCATATCTGAAAGTCAAATCGAAGCGTAAAATAGTGTGCTTACTGCGCAGTGGTAAACATTCTTATTTTCTGGGTGCTAATCTGCTAAATAGTACATTTTGGGACCTATTCTTCATATCTGAGAGTCAAATCGAAGTGTCTAATACTGCGGTTACAGCGCAATTGTAAACATTCTAATTGTTTGGTACTAAACTGCTAAATAGTTCATTTTGGGGCCTGTTCTTCATATCTGAGAGTCAAATAGAAGCGTCAAATAGTGCGCTTACTGCGCAGTGGTAAACATTCTAATTGTTTTGCTGCTAATCTGCTGCTTACATTGGAGTTTTAAAAAGTATAGATTTTTTTTGGCGCTAAATAATATATTTGGGGTGTTCACTTCATATCTGAGAGTCAAATCGAAGCGTAGAAAACAGATTGATATTTTCTACACTAGAAACTACCAGATAACAAGCTGCTATATTTAAACCAGTGATTTATAGCTAAGAGGTACTTCAACAATATTGTAATTCTTGGGCAATACCCTCACAAGTCAAACTGAGAGGTCAGTTTATAAGGAAAACTGTTGCCTGGAGGAAATTCTAAAAAATTTCCATATGTCCTTTACAGACTTTCCATGCTGGAAAAACACAGGTGCCAACTGCTGTGGCTTTCTGCAGTGTGCATACCGGCAAGGAGGGCAGGGTTGAGGAGTGGGTGGAAGATGATGTGGAGGATGATGAGGTCCTAGACCCCACATGGAATCAAGGTCATGCGAGTGACATGTGCAGTTTGGAGGAAGAGGCGCTGGTCGCATAGAGGCACCAGCACAACATAAGAGGGAGCAGGGTGCAAAAGCGGAGCCGCCATCCCATAGCGCTCGTCGGCATGTATTAGCTCGAGAATTACCAGTTATCCAAGTAATACATGTAGCGATCAAAGGATCCATAATAGAGTTGAGCGAACCCGAAAGTTCGGGTTCGTACCAGATTTAACGATCCATTCGTAGTTTCACAGTGAGGTGGGCAGTCCGGTTACCAGGACCCAGACACTATCTGGGCGGTGGTCGGACAACCGGGACCTAGTATGCCTGATGTTGAAGTTAGGAGTCACAGTTTGGAATGGATTAGCAGGGTCTGGTGCAGGGTACCAGCGTTTGTGCGGCCACATACCAGGACCCTGATGCAGCTTCAGTATATAGAGTACTTGATACCAGAAGCCATCACCAGACTGATCTGCAACTTGGAACAGGATGTGACATTCAATGTGGTGGCTGTGCGCGCTTTTGGCGTTGTCACCCTGCTGCTGCTCGTCTGTCTGCGCTGCAGCGTAACTTCGGCCTTCCCGCTCACCGCCTCGTGAGACTTTGCGAGCAGCAGCAGACGATAGTGTAGTTTTAGCTGCAGCACGCACGGGTCAGTGGCTCTGCACCAGACTTCCCTCCAATTGATCAGAATTAACGGATTTCAAGTGGACTCATTACAATTACAGGGCCTCTAAAATATTGTTATTTGTCGTCATTACCTTCCCGTGTCGGGAGTGGGTCATTTGTGCGCCTCCTGCCTGCCTTGCATGTGGTAGCCATTTCTCAGGGTCCCTGTACGGAATGGAACCCTAATTCCCCGTTACCCGTGGTCACCATGGTAGGCGCAGAAACTGGCATCGAAAGTTGATATGGATGATATCTGCATGCAAAGTCGCCGCCATGGGGATATGCGATTTGCCTGAGGTTCTCTAGAGTCAACAAAGTTCCTGCGCAACTATAATGTCAACAGCTACTCTGCTGAAGAGAGTTGTCTTTTTTTATATGTCCCAATATTCTGGGGGCTATCCCAATAAAAAAATAAAATAAAAAAATAAATAAAATATATATATATATATATATATAAAAACAGTGTTGGCTACCTCATCCTCCTCCTCCACCTCCATGGTCACCGCTTCCTCAACCTATGGGTCACTTAGTATAAACTAGGTACATATTAGCAGAGGTTTGTGAAGGCCTTTTCTCCATGCATCAGAAGTTGAGCATTTCTCCATGCATTAGGACTGCAAGAAATGCACCGCAGACCGCAAATGTTTCTTTATTTGTATGTGCCAATATTTTGTGGGCTACCACAATTAAAAAAAACAAAAAAAAACATAAAATACAGTGTTGGCTACCTCATCCTCCTCCTCCACCACCACGGTCACTGCCTCTTCAACTTATGGGTCACTTAGTATAAACTAGGTACACATTAGCAGAGGCTTGTGAAGGCCTTTTCTCCATGCATCAGGAGTTGAGCATTTCTCCATGCATTAGGACTGCAAGAAATGCACCGCAGACCGCAAATGTTTTTTTTATTTGTATGTTCCAATATTTTGTGGGCTACCACAATAAAAAAAAACAAAAAAAAAACATAAAATGCAGTTTTGGCTACCTCATCCTCCTCCTCCACCGCTACAGTCACTGCCTCCTCAACCCATGGGTCACTTAGTATAAACTAGGTACACATTAGCAGAGGCTTGTGAAGGCCTTTTCTCCATGCATCAGGAGTTGAGCATTTCTCCATGCATCAGGACTGTATGTTCCAATATTTATTTGTATGTTCCAATATTTTGTGGGCTACCACAATAAAAAAAAACAAAAAAACATAAAATACAGTGTTGGCTACCTCAGCCTCCTCCTCCCCCGCCACGGTCACCGCCTCCTCAACCTATGGGTCACTTAGTATAAACTAGGTACACATTAGCAGAGGCTTGTGAAGGCCTTTCCTCCATGCATCAGGAGTTGAGCATTTCTCCATGCATCAGGACTGCAAGAAATGCACCGCAGGCCGCAAATGTTTCTTTATTTGTATGTCCCAATATTTTGTGGGCTACCACAATTAAAAAACAAAAACAAAAAAACCCATAAAATACAGTGTTGGCTACCTCATCCTCCTCCACCTCTGCTTCCTCCTATACCGCCATGGTCACCGCCTCCTCAACCTATGGGTCACTTAGTATAAACTAGGTACACATTAGCAGAGGCTTGTGAAGGCCTTTTCTCCATGCATCAGGAGTTGAGCATTTCTCCATGCATGAGGACTGCAAGAAATGCACCGCAGGCCGCAAATGTTTCTTTATTTGTATGTGCCAATATTTTGTGGGCTACCACAATTAAAAAAAACAAAACCATAAAATACAATGTTGGCTACCTCCTCCTCCTCCTCCACCGCCTCCTCAACCTATGGGTCACGTAGTATAAACTATGTACACAATAGCAGAGGCTTGTGAAGGCCTTTTCTCCATGCACCAGGAGTTGAGCTCAGTTTGAACAATGAAAGAGAATACCCTGCACTCCAACCCTCTTTTAAATGGATAATTCTGTTGATCCTCCTGACAGCCATGCTTTAGATTTTAATTTATGTTCTTCCAAAGCTAAAATCAAAGATTCCATCTATTGCTATTTTATGGCTCAGCTGTATTTTTAATTTTTATGTTATTTTAAGTGATTTCCCTATCCACATTTGTTTGCAGGGTACTTGTCCTACTCTTACCCCCACTTTACTTGCTTTTGCAGCTCTCTAGCTCTTTCCAGGAGTTTTTTAAGGCATTTTTGTGGCCAAAAATTCGGGTCCCCATTGACTTCAATGGGGTTCGGGTTCAGGGACAAGTTAAAGCCCGAACAAAGATTTTTTTTCAAAGTTCGGCCAAACCCGCCGGACCCGAACATCCAGGTGTCCGCTCAACTCTAGTTACTAGTCATCTTGAATGAAGCCTGTGATAGCTTTAACTTAACAATACTTCCTCTCTTAATGTGCATATATCATCCATTTTCTTGGCAAAGGTTAAGCCAGTTAATGTGTAATTTTATAAGTATTTTCATTTCCCCTATTCCAATTCAATTTAAAATTACCATAGTGACATATTGTTTCGTTAGAGCACTTTAGCACCTTGCATTTTTTTATCTTCACCAGTTTTCAGGTTGCCTTGGTGGGTGGTTCTAAACAATAGGAACACACTTAAAGCTTATAGTAATTCATATGAAATTTAGAATATATTTTACACATTCTAGTTAATGAGTAAGCTTAAAGGGGCTCTAGTAGATTCAGTACCTTCAGGCTTTTTGCTGTAAACACTGCTTGTTTCAGAGAAAATGCAGTGTTTACATTACAGCCTAGTGATAACTTCACTGGCCACTCTTTGGATGGCTGTTAGAGATCCTTCCTGGGTCATGGCTGCCTAAAATGCATTCAAACATTCAGTGTCTCCTCCCTCTCAGACACTGAACTTTCTTCATAGAGATTCATTGATTTAATTCAACTCTATGAGGCGATGCTGATTGGCCAGGGCTGTGTTTGAATCATGCTGGCTCTGCCCCTGATCTGCCTCTTTGTCAGTCTCAGCCAATCCTATGGGGAAGTATTGTGATTGGATCAGGCTACCACTTCTTATGTCAGCAGGCAGTGGGCAGGTCAAAAGGAAACAGGGAAAAAGTAAGCAGCTCCAGACTTGAATACAAGATAGATTTTACTAAATTTAGGGAGACATGAGGGGACCAGGGTGGCTAGATGGTGGTTTTAACATGTTTGTGTTCCTGACGCTATAGTGCTCCTTTAAATCATGGTTAGTAAGGTTAAAGTAAAAGTAAAATGCAATAATTTACATTAAAAGAAAATAATTCTTAGGTCAGTATTTAATTATTCACATTTAAACCATAACTGTAATAATGGCTACATTTGTGTTGTATCATTTATGTGAACTTGTGATTAAATTATAAATTTTCTTCAGGACATGTTTGAAAACTAGAATTATTTCAAAATATTCTTTCTAGAAAAAAACAATATTCAATCAATAAATAAAATCCCAGCCCTTGATAAACTAAGCAGTGTAAACTGCTGCTCCACTGCCTAATTCAGTTATGCTCAGAAATATGTTTTGTGATTTAACTCCAAAATGGCAGAGAATTGAGCAGTGACACTGCAGGGGCATGATCTATATACACTAAAATTACTTCATTAAGCTAAAATTGACTATAGTGTCCCTTTAAATATATAAACAGTGACATAATAAAGTTCAGTCTAGGTCAAAACAGGGCAAACAATACAAATGTGGAGACTAGAAACATTGTTTCATTTCTCCTCTTCAGCTAACTATATTAAATGGCAGAATTCACATTTTTAATAATTATTTACAGGGAGTCAAGATGGAGGCACCCGCTTCCACGATGTGAGCCTTTTTAGTTTTATTTTTCAGACCTTACAAAAACATATTTTCTAAATATACGGGATACATAAATAAGACAATTCTTACCAATACTTACTAGAATGTTCTTTTCCAGGCCATTTCTATGGCAACATCACTAATGGGTTCATTGATACTTACTCTCCTGACTCAACAGTCATGAGTGAAAGTATCAATTAACGAATCTTATTAAATTTCCTTCCTTCTGTAGAAGCCTCACTCTTACTATAAAGCCATGGAAATGTACAGGAAAAGAGATTTCTGGTATGTATGGGTAAGAATTTTCTTGTTTCCATGGCAGAATCACAAATGGGAAATCTTCAAGCCAAGAAGGAAAGGAGACATAAATGTGCTGCTAAAATTAGGTTTATTTAAAGATCATATGGAAGATAGAAAAATGGACCCAGGCTGAGAACCTTTATCCATAGGGATGTCTAGGCAATAATTTCTTGTGAAAGTAGACTCTGAAGCCTATGTAGCAGTCCTACATTTTTTTTAACCATTATAACAGATGGCCAAGCTGTCATCGCCTGAGTGGAATGAGGTCTGATGAATGAGGGAATCTCCAATTCCTATCCGGATAGTCAGTGATAGCCTTTTCAATTATTCAAACTCAGCTGTATGTTATTTTAAAAATCTCATGAAACTCAAATACAGAATTTTAAAAGTATAACATTATATTGAGCTTTTTAGATCTCATAAGACAGTATGACAGCGTATGCAGCTCCCTAAATCTCATTAGATAGTCAAAGAAAACTCAAATCTACCTGGGTTTTGTCAAATAAGATACATATGAATAAAAGCAGGCCCTCAGCCCAGACACAAAGAGTGAATATTAGTAAATGGGAATTACCTGAACTTGATACTAATACATAACCTCCAAACAAAAGACTCCCAGACACCAGACTAATACATTCCTGTGAATTGATCATTTCCATGCCTCTGAGAATTCAATCACTGCCACATATTTCACCAGTTTTATATCAGTTTAGGAGAGATGATAGAAAAAAGAAAATGAGCCCAGCATCACACTACACATATTCCCAACATACACGGGTGACCTGAAAAGAGCAGACATTAAGTCCCTCTACACCTTAAACTGGACATAGATTTTTGTACTGAAAAGTCAGATCTAGAACCAAACATCACGTGCACGTTCATAAAATATAGACCGTCTGTAATCAGCAGATGATCCCTACAGATAGTAGAGATACAAAATAGGTGAAAACAGATATTTAATTTTGAGAAAAGATCCCAGGTAAGAAAAAAACAAGCATCAAATCTCAAAACAGATTACCCATATGGGGGATCCATACAAATGGTATTAAACACCAAATATAAATCTTTATTGAAAAACATATACACAAAAAAGTGAATAGAACTAAAAGTGAGAAAAATCAGTGACTGTGTAATGTGTATTTAAAAAGCGGTGAGGGGGGAGGGGCGACGACCTAAGTAGCCTGCAAGCCTCCCTTGTGTGAATATAAATATAAATCCCCTCAAATAAGCTCCTATGATTTCAAGCTCAGTGGATACAATGTCAAGAGAGGAGTGAGAGTTTACTCAGAAAAATTGTTATCACAAAGGTGTAGCTCAAAGAGTAGCCATTAAGCTACACAGTAGCCGTATAGGTAGACTCCTCAAAATAGACAGAGAGAGGAGGAGAACACAAGGGACAGAAATAGAAAATAAATTTAAAAATGTCTGCATAAAAGGAAAATAAAGAGAAGCTGCTTAGGAG